TATTAAAGTGAAACGAGCAGGTGTTCAAGACTACTTCCACCATTTCCTGGTGTTGGCAATCTCTAAAGTATCTGATGGGATAGATGCTGTCACTATCGGACAATACACAAGCTCGGCTGAAATTGGAATGGAGAATTGTGATGGCATCGGTAAATTTGTACAGTAGACGTTCTTGATGGATGAAATCGACAATAATACACATACACATGCTATTTTAAACTTTGAGCAGGGTGTATTCTTAGTTAAACAGGAGAACTATCCAAGTACAAGAAAAGAAATTTAGGAAGCTTTTAATCGTCTCAGCGAGAGAATTGGTGAAAGAAAGTATGATTTATTATCAAACAATTGTGAACATGCAATTAACCAAATTTTAACCGGAAAGAGTGTCAGTCATCAAGCAGACACCAAAACTTGCTCCTAGATATGTTTTAATGATTTGATCAACATTTTAATCATAGATTGTAAAGAAGTAGGGCTCAAAACAGCTTTGTTAGTAGCTGCCCTTGGTGCCATTGCTGGTTCGTTGGTGCGTAGAGCTTATGTAAGAGTAATTGTTGCTGCTATTGTAAGCCTTACCGTCGAAAGTAGCATTATTAAATGTGGGGACATAAGGGGAAGTAATTTACGCAACGAAGCGGATATCAGAATAGACTTGGCTGCTCATTTGCCCTATATCAATGGTGCTTTTAAAAACACAAGTAGTGCTATCCTTGACGACATGAAGGTTCACACTGATACGAATTTTGTTTGTAATATTGCAGAGAAACTTATTTATGAAGCAGCCCTGACGACGTGTTTGGCGACTGTTGCTGTCTCTACAGGAATAGAAACTATACTATTTTTGTCTTTTGTGTATAACAATTTAATTTCAAGGAGACGAAAGAAAACATTGCCAGATAGACATCTATGTCGGCTGTTGTTCTTGCAACTTTTTGCAGGATATGGCTCGATAGGAATTGCTGTAGTTTCTGGATATTTCGCATTTTAGACTTTAATCGTATTGCATTATCTTTCTTTGGAATTGTATTTGGTTGTTGTCTGGTTTTTCGATATATTTTGTCTTGTACTGCAGGGATGATTTTTAACGTCTGCTGTTGTCAGCGTTGCTGGACCTGTTATCAGTCAAGCTGTTGTAAATGGTTCGAGGCCAGTTGTCATTGTAGATGATATAAATGTGATTTGAGCACCGTTTGTTTTGTTTTTTCAACTTTAGTAATCTTTATATCTGTTGCGTGTTTAGTTGTTATTGTTTTCTGGGACGATTAATTAAAACAATGGGCTTAGGTCGGTGAATGGGTGTTGAAGAAATGGAGAGCGAAAGGAAGGGGTCCAACTTTTTAGAACATAATCATTGTATCTAAATAAAAAAGAACGATTATTTTGAAATGTATCTTATCAGAATTATTTGAATACAAATGCATTAACTGTAAATAATTTTAGACCTTTGCGTAAGCTAAAACACTTCTGATATATCGAACCGTTTTCAATAGATAAAGATAACTGCAAGTAACATATGAAACCTAGAAGTGAAATGAATCCCTTATAAACTCAAAAACAGTCTTAAAAAAAATGTACCATGAAAGTATTTTTGTTTATGAAGTGCCAAAAAAAAAGTAAAATAACAAAAATACCGAACTCCAAGAAAATTCAAAACGGAAAGTCCTTCATCAAATGACAAAATCAAAAGCTGAAACACATCAAACGAATGGAAAACAACTGTCATATTCCTGACTTGGTACAGGCATTTCCTGATGGTAGATTAAACATGGTTTTAAAGCTAGCTAAACCTCTCACTGTATGACAGTTGCTTAGAATTTTAATATATTGACAACAATGTGTGAGCAAAACAAAAAGACATAATAGGTAAAAATGTCAAAAATTGGGGTACAGCAGTTAACATTGTGTTATAATCTTAATCACTATAAAAACTAATAACAAAGACAAATAAAAAGAACACGTTAACACGTTATTAAGATGATATACAACGTCAGTACCTAGAATCTATACTTTAAGATCATTTTCAGGATTTCATGGGTCCGTTCAGCTACAAAATTAGTTACACTAAAAATTACATATTTTCCATTGAGTGCGAATATGTTTATCTTAAAACCACAAATTGAAAAAATCTAAGGAACCAAATATGTTTTCACAATCCACAAAAATTGACACCCAATAAAGACCAGTACTTCTACAGTAAATGATATGCGAATTATATCTAATTACTGTGTATTTAATGATTGCATGGTTCTTTTTGTAATTTAATTGCGATTTAAAAGCGTAGATTGATACAAATTTTGTATGAAGCATGGAAGCTCTATACAAAAAAATGCGTGTCCTTTGAAAACTTTATAAAAGGTACAGTAAAGAAGCATTCAATTCTTATTTTACATGTCTTTGTTATTACCTTCACGTTAGATTAAGTTTTTTGTATGTTTACTATGCATTGTTGTAATGTTGTCATGAAGAAATAATGCATTTCATTGAAAAATGACATAATATTTGAATGCCTTGTGATTGTTGTCTGCCAGTCAAATTATGTATTCTTATGAAACATCCATGCAATCTAATTTTTTTTTTAAGTGTGTTAATATATAGACATTGTAGTCTTCCTAAAAAAAAGATTTATTTATATAATAAACTGGTGACCTTACACAACTTCGATTATTATTTAAAGAAATGCAGTTGAAGGTAAATGATTTTCAAAAAGGGATTTTGCTCATTGTTGAAGGCCGTACAATGACCCATAGTTGTTAACTTCTACATCATTTGGAGGGTTGTCTGATTGGCATTCATGCCACCTTTTTTTTTATTAGCAACCATCAAAGTAATTACTTATTTCTTTCACACCGAAGAAAAACCCTAGAAATAAGAAGTTCTACATTATTGCGTTTTTGGAATGAACCAGATCGATATAGACTCTCTATCTATATATAGCCTTTAGTTAAGTAATTGTATCATACAATCTTTAAAATCGTATGATATGAATATTCCTAATAAAATGGCTACTATAGGGTGATTCTCCATAATGTAATTTAAGTGGTGAGGTTAGTTTTTTTGTCTGCTTGATTGCCTCGTTTTGTTTTATATTTATATGTTGCTTTAACAACGTCTAAATACTATTATTTTGGCTGTCTACATCATTCTTTTATCAAGTTTCTTTTCTCAGTAATAAATGTTTTAAATCATTCTGACAAAATCAATGAAAAGCGTACCAAATTTCGGGTTTTTGCAATTGTGCTTATATTTCGTTCGTTTGTTTTCCAACGAACGTATCAAACCTTTGAGCGGCGATCCGAAACCAAACATACATATATTATTTGATTGTACTTTACATGGCTTGTTTTAGGCGAATCTTTATCGATTGACATATGTAATGTGGCCGTGAAATTACAATAAATGTTAAGACGGTTATTTAAGTTTCCTTTAATAACAATTTTTAAGTTATATCTCAGGAAATATGAACCGTCTGTCGAGGACGAACGTCTTGTTTTATTCTCTCACAGACTTAGAAAAATGTAATTTGGTCATTTTGTGCATTCGACGATAAAAGATGTACATATTTGTATTAAACTATTTTTTTTATATTTTTTTTTATAAATTAACCCTACAAAAGAGCATATAAGATAACTTGAGCGTCTTTTTTGCAGTTTTTAGCTAAGATAACTTTGGCTGCAACCCCTGACCTAGACAAGTTTTGAGTCCATATATATAACAATTGTTATAAACAGGAAACCTTTAACAATGTATTTGGACAATCCATCATGAATAATATTGAATAATTATATATAAGATACATGTCACATCCTTGTTATAAATGCATGTACTACAACCGTAACATTGCATACTACAATAGTATTTGTGTTTAAAGTTTGATTGCAGACCGATTGCAGACCAATCTAATTAAAATATAAATATCTGATTTCGTTATGCTCATTTCAATGTAAAAAAAAATGTTTTTTTGTTACAAATCATAGTGTATTGTTTTGTGTGTATATAGAATAGAATAGAATAGAATAGAATAGAATAGAGTACTTCATTAATCCAATTATGGACCCTTGCGGGTTTTAAATTTCATACAATAATTACAATGAATTTTGTTATGACATGTTATGATTATGATTATATATGTCATGCTGCCAATCAAGGGCCCTTAATAGGAACAATAAATAGTCTTGTAACATGAATGGTAATTTTTCCTTTGATCTTCGTATTGAATTCTGCTATTTTTAGAGGAGTGCGTTAACTGAATGATTTTTTATTTATTGCACTCTCCAGTCCCGCCGTATGTCGCTTGTCATAGGAAAAGCAAAAAATGGGAGGAGCTTAGACCAGTGCTCTAACTTCCATCTCAGAAGTAGATATTTCACTGTCTAGCTCCGCCTCCTTGGCCTCGTAAACAATGAAATCAATGACCCATAAAAGGTCTTAATACATTTGAACAAAATGTATACACAACAATAAATCAGAAACAAAAAAAATCCGGAAGTGTGTGTTTGTATGGGGCGGGGGGGGGGGGTGTACTTTAACACTAGCCAAATTTGCAAACCTTTATTAAAAATGGTTCCCTATACTCGAAACAAATGAATGCCCGATGAGAGCTACAAAAAAGGAATAGCGTGGTCTTTAAGCGAAGAGGTGATATTGATAAATTGGTGGATACTTGATTTCACGTGTCAAAATACGGCGGGTGGGGCACTTCAATAACACATAAATCGCTTTCTGGTCTATAAACTTTGATGAAAGTATTACGACAACAAATCATTTGCATGTACATATATCATTAAATCAAATCAAACTTAAAAATCCGATCCATTAATTCATTTTCTGAAAACAAGAGACGTTTTGTCATGAAAAACGGTACTATTTGATTGACATCTTTTATTCAAGTTTAACTTTTGACAAGAGTCATCGCCCATTAATGTTACAAATCATATATAGCCACGCCTTACTCATTAATTCGTAAAAGGCGTGCTATATATATAACTTATTCTTAACGACGAGTAAGCGAGTTCCGAAAGATCTGAATTTTAATCGGAACGATGGCGGACAGTAAAGCACAAACAATTGCGGTAAGTTTTCTAAGATAGTCCTTAAATTAGAATTACGAAAATGTTTTATTTTAAAGAGAATATTTCGTTTCTATTGCTTGGTTTTGTCGTATTACCAAAGACTTCTGCCATACGATCAAAGTTGACCATATATATATATATATATATATATATATATATATATAAATAAATCAATCATTCATACATTTATATGGCAACCCTTATATGGTAAATCAATCCATACCTTGGTTGCAGAAAAATGAAAAGATTTTTTATAAAGATTAGTATTTGGTCTTGGAACAAACTGATCGTTATTATAGACAGGTAATTTGTAGTGTTGAACATCATTATTAATTAATCTTTATTTAACCACGAATATATTTAAAAATGAGAAGATGTTTTATGATTGTCAATGAGACAACTATCCATAAAGACCAAATGACAATAACAGGTCACCATACGACCTTCAACAATTAGCATGACCCATACCCTATAAAAGGTCACGGTATGACAAACTGGGAAACAACTCAAAAGAGAAAACCAGCAGCCTGATGCATACTAAAATAAATATGACAGATAGCAACCAATGACAACCACCGAATTACAGGTTCCTGGCTTGGGACAGGAACATAAAGAAAGTAGCGGGGTTTACCATGTTTGTGAGCCCTCAACCTCCCCTAACATGGGACAGTTGTATAAAAACACAACATAAGAACAATCTGTAAAAATTAGCTGGAACGGGCTTGACTCATCAGATCTGTATAAAGCACACAACAAGAGACAAGAAGACGAGACAAAAAGTACCGATCATAGAGTACTCTCAGGAACTGAAAGCTAGTTCAAAGCCCAATTTCAACTACAAATGTATTAGATAAACAATATGTTCTAACAATATACAATAAGGAGATGTGGTATTATTACCAATGAGACAACTTTTCAACAGAAGTTGATTTAAACAACTACACATCACTTGACGGCCTTCAACAATGACCAATATGTATATTGTATAGTCAGCTATAAAAGGCCCCGACATGACTATATGTGAAACAAGTCAAACGAAAAACCCAACGATTTGATATATGACAAAACAATAAACGAAAAACCAATATGACAAACAGCAACCAACGACAACCACTGAATGACAGGCTCCTGACTTTGAAAAAAAAGTTAAATAACAAAAATACCGAACTCCAATGAAAATTCAAAACGGAAAGTCCCTTATCAAATGGCAAAACAAAAGCTCAAACACATCCAACGAATGGAAAACAACTGTCATATCCCTGACTTGGTAAAGACATTTCCTTTTGTATAAAATGGTGGATCAGACACATATAATGGAATCTGGCCGGGTAAAACATGTTTCTGAGCGTTGAACCCTCATCCTAATCTGGAACAGTGGTGTTTCTGTGTATTTCACAATACACAGTGAGTACAGCTAGTTGTCTGTGTCTTCTGAGTATAATGATAAGTTGATTACAAGAAATTTCCAACCCATTCGATGATGATTGATTGTTTGTTGTTTGAGTCCAGCGGCAAATGTTTCACCCATATTTAGGACGAGAATAAATCAACTATATCTCTAATAGGTAGGTTCTGCAAAGTGGATGAAATGCGTGAATTTCGACTGCCACTGGAAAATGGAAGCAGAAATTTTGCCTTTTAACAGACCACCTCATCCTCAAAAAGTTACAAGGGTTCTTTCAAGTGTAAGGAGCCTGGCATTTCATGGAAGTCTTTTTACGTACATTCAGATTCTGGTAAACTGACGGTTTTTTTTCACATTATAGCACTATCATGCTTATGAAATGTCAAGAATAACTTACATACTTCAATGAGAAAAGTTGAAATCCTGGAGTGTTTTGTTGTAAATAATCAGGACTTTTCGATTTTCAAGAATTATGAGTACTACGAAACTGCTTTCTATAATTCTAAAAAAATATTTGCCGATGACATGGCATTTTGTCAATTATCTTTGCTATATTTTTCTTTGTCTAATTTCTTATAGCTCTATTATTAGACATCAGAACTTCTCTCTTCTCGACATTTGCCTATCATTTCCGTTTATATTCATAAGGTAATTGAAGGCAATATTGGAAATTCAACACTCATCAAAATATAATTGTAAAAAATCCGTTTTTTTTTTTAATTTTGTAGAACTGCGATGAAGATGACACTAATGAATTTGAAGTTAAAGAGGAAAATAGCGAACTTCTTCGCCAGGAAACAGATCCAAATAAGCTGAAAAATTATGATGATTTCCGACGTAAGTGTAAACCGTTGTCTCATATAAAAGTGAAACGAGAAGGTGACTACTTCAACCATTTCGTGGTGTTGGCAATCTCTACAGTATCTGATGGGATAGATGCTGTCACCATCGGACAATGCACAAACTCGGCTGAAATTGAGATGGAGAATTGTTATGGCGACTGTAAATTTGCACAGCAGACGTTCTTGATGGAAGAAATCGACAAACAAACACTTACACATGCTATTTTAAACTTTGAGCAGGGTGTATTCTTAGTTAAACAGCAGAACTATCCAAGTACAAGAAAAGAAATTAAGGAAGCTTCTAATCGTCTCAGCGAGAAAATTGGTGAGAGAAAGTATGATATATCATCAAACAATTGTGAGCATGCAATTAGCTATATTTTAACCAGAAAGAGTGTCAATGCTAAAAAGGAAAATGATCCAATTAAACTGAAAGATTATGATGATTTCCGATGTAAGTGTAAGTCTAAACCGTTGTCTCATATACAAGTGAAACGAGTAGGTTGTCATGGCTACTTCCACCATTTCGTTGTTTTGGCGATCTCTAATGTATCTGATGGGATAGATGCTGTCACCATCGGACATTACACAAGCTCGGCTGAAATTGGGATGGAGAGTTTTGATGGCATCGGTAAATTTATACAGCAGACGCTCTTCATTGGAGAAAACGGTACAGACGAATTTTTAGACTTTAAGCAGGGTGTGTATTTAGTTGAGAACGAAAACTACCCAAGGGAAAAAAAAGAAGTTAAGGAAGCTTTTAATCGTCTCAACGATAGAATTGGTGAGAGAAAGTATGAATTATTATCAAACAATTGTGAACATGCAATTAACTATATCTTTACCGGAAAGAGTTTCAGTCATCAAGCAGACACCAAAATTTTCTCGAGGAAATGTTTTAATGATTAATTAAAAATTTCGATCATAGATTGTAAAGAAGTAGGGCTCAAAACAGCTTTGTTAGTAGCTGCCCTTGGTGCCATAGCTGGTTCGTTGGTGCGTAGAGCGTATGTGAGAGTAATTGTTGCTGCTATTGTAAGCCTTACCGTCGAAAGTAGCATTATTAAATGTGGAAATAAAAGGGGAAGTAATTTACGCAACGAAGCGGATATCAGAATAGACTTGGCTGCTCATTTGCCCTATATCAATAGTGCTTTAAAAAACACAAGTAGTGCTATCCTTGACGACATGAAGAATCACACTGATACGAATTTTGTTTGTAACATTGCAGAGAAACTTATTTATGAAGCAGCCCTGACGACGTGTTTGGCGACTGTTGCTGTGTCTACTGGAATAGAAACTATACTATTTTTGTCTTTCGTATTTAACAATTTAATTTCAAGGATACGAAAGAAAACACTGGAGGGTTATGATCTATGTCGGCTGTTGTTCTTGCAACTTTTTGCAGGATATGGCTCGATAGGAATTGCTGTAGTTTGTGGATATTTCGCATTTTTAGACTTTAATCGTCCTGCATTATCTTTCTTTGGAATTGTATTTGGTTGTTGTATTGTTTTTCGATATATTTTGACTTGTACTGCAGGGATGATTTTTAACGTCTGCTGTTGTAAGTGTTGCTGGATCTGTTATAAGTCAAGCTGTTGTAAACGTTACGAGGACAGTTGTCATAGTAGATGCTATAGATGTCATTTGAGCACCGTTTGTTTCATTTTTCTAACTTCAGTAATCTTTATATCTGTTGCATGTTTAGTTGTTATTGTTTTCTGGGACGATTAATTAAAACTATGGGCTTAGGTCGGTGAATGGGTGTTAAAGAAATGGAGAGCGAAAGGAAGGGGTTTGACTTTTTAGAACATAATCATTGTATTTAGATAAAAAGAACGATTATTTAAGGAATGACTGTAATATTTTTTCTGTCTATAAAAAATTAAGGAAAAAAATGTGGTGCACACTGAATAACCCGCGTAGCGGGTTATTTAAAAGAGTGCACCACATTTTTATGCTATTTCGAATAGACAGAAAACATATTACAGTCAATCTTCATAATTTAATTCTAAATCCATTTTTAAGGAGTAAATCATGAAAAAAAAAACGTTGATGACGTTGCGGTCACAAAATTATGCCTATGAGCTGATAGACAAAAAACTTTCAGCCAATCAGAAGTCGTCTTACATCAAAGATTAAATTATTTTGAAATTTATCTTATCAGAATCATTTGAATACAAATACAATAATTGTAAATAATTTCAGACTTTTGCGTTAGTGAAAACACTTCTGATTAAACAGTCTTAAGAATGTAATAGAACTTTGTGTTTGTTTCATGCCTCCTTTAAGTTTTTTTATGTATGAAATAATGTAGTCCTTATGGTAAGTCATAAGCATCATCTGTTAATTTGCATCTGTTAATTTGATTGGTTTATCAGGTAAAGGAACAATTTGTAGGAGATAACAAAACTCCTTTTTATCTGATTGTCTTTCCTTGTTAATTTAAGTTAAATTGAAATGTGAACAAACCAAACATCTGATGAATATCATAATACTCATTCTAATGGTATTCGTTTGGATTGATCATTTTCATTGGACGTTGACAAATATTTTTACCGGTCCGTAACTAAGGAAAGCCACCATTCTGAATTTCAAATTTTTTTTAGTATTTGAATTCTCAAAAAAGTAATAAAAAAAAAGTAACATTTTGTGCTTCACAATCTTCTTTTTGTCAATATTTAAACCATTCAGAAGGGTACGAAAAGTATAAATGTTTTTATTATACTTCACGTTAAAATGCCAGATTTTGATTGGCTTATAGGGTGGAGATAATTTTCTCTACCCATGACTCAGCAGGAGACAATTTTTTTAATGTCACCCTCTCGTGCAGACCAATCAAAATCAATAATTTAAAGGAAAATGAATTTAATTTACATCAATAATTTTAAAGACAGTGCTCGAGTTCTACGTTTTAGCCTCAAAACCTTCTCTTCGGTTGACAATGTTTTTTTCGGGGTAACAATCTGCTCTTTCACCTTCTCAGCTATGTGTTATTTATATAATGTTTGACATCTGGAGTATACCTATGACGTCACATTGTTTAGATGTCCAAGTCGCTAGGTAAACTCAATTTGCGACAGTAAAATCTACGTTTTACGAAGGCCAAGCTTGAAATGCAATACAGTTATATCTTAATAAACATTTTATATAAAAAGCACTAAAAAAAATGTTTGTAGGATTTCTAAGTTTTATATATTGCTATTCTTATCACTTCAATGATGTTCCTTGCTTTTAACTTAACTTTTTGTCTTCTAAGTGTGTATAATTTAGATAAAAATTTACTATAAAAGTATTTTTGTTTATAGAGGACCAATTTTCAGGGATTCCATGGGTTCATTCAACTTCATAATTAATTTCACCAAAAATTACATACTTTTCATTGAGTGCGAATATGTTTATCTTAAAACCACAAATCGAAAAAAAAAACAACAAACCAAATATGTTTTCACATTCCACAAAAATTGATACCCATTAAGACAAATACTTCTACAGTAAATGATGTGCGAATTATATCTAATTACTGTTTATTTGATAATTGCATGGTTATTTTTGTAATTTAATTGGGATTTTAAAGCGTTGACTGAAGCAAGTTTTGTATGGAGCATGGAGGCTCTTTATACAAAAAAATGCGTGTCCTTTGACAACTCAATAAAATTACAGTAAAGAAGCATTCAGTTCTTATTTTTAATGTCTTTGCTATTACCTTGAAGTTCAATTAAGTTTTTTGTATGTTTCCTATGCATTGTTGTAATGATGTCATGGAGAAATTTTGCATTTTATTGAAAAATGACATAATATTGGAATGCCTTTTGATTGTTGTCTGCCAGTCAAATTATGGATTCTTATGAAACATCCATGTAATCTAATTATTTTTTTAAAAAGTGTGTTAATATATATACATTGTAGTCTTCCTAAAAAAAAAGATTTATTTATATAATAAACTGGTGACATAACACAAATTCGATTATTATTTAAAGAAATGGAGTTGAAGGTAAATGATTTTCAAAAAAGGATTTTGCTTATTGTTGAAGGCCGTACAGTGACCCATAGTTGTTAACTTCTACGTCATTTGGAGGGTTGTCTCAATGGTATTCATACCACCTTTTTTTATTAGCAACCATCAAAGAAATTACTTATTTCTTTCACACCGGACAAAAACCATAGAAACAATAAGGTCTAGATTATTGAGTTTTTGGAATGAACCAGATCGATATAGGCTCTCTCTCTATATATAGCCTTTAGTTAAGTAATTGTATCATACAATCTTTAAAATCGTATGATACAGATATTCCTAATAAAAAGACTACTTTAGGGTGATTCTCCATGTTATTTAAGTGATGAGGTTAGTTTTTTTGTCTGCTTGATTGCCTCGTTTTGTTTTATATTTATATGTTGCTTTAACTACGTCTAAATACTATTATTTTGGCTGTCTACATCATTCTTTTATCAATTTTTTTTCCCAGTAATAAATGTTTTAAATCATTCTGACAAAATCACTCAAAAGCGAACCAAATTTCGGGTTTTTGCAATTGTGCTTATATTTCGTTCGTTTGTTTTCCAACGAACGTATCATACCTTTGAGCGGCGCACCGAAGCCAAATATACATATGTTATTGATTGTACTTTACATGGCTTGTTTTGAGGCGAATCTTTATCGATTGACATATGTAATGTGGCCGTGAAATTACAGTAAATGTTAAGACGGTTATTTAAGTTTCTTTTAATCACAACTTTTAAGTTATATCTCCGGAAATATGAATCGTCTGTCGAGGGCGAACGTCTTGTTTTATTCTCTCACAGACTTAGTAAAATGTAATTTGGTCATTTTGTGCATTCGACGATAAAAAGATGTCCATATTTGTATCAAACTTTTTTTTTTTAAATTTTTTTTTTATAAATTAACCCTACAAAAGACCATATAAGATAACTTGAGCGTCTTTTTGCAGTTTTTAGCTAGGATAACTTTGGCTGCAACCCCTAACCAAGACAAGTTTTGAGTCTATATATTCAATATAATCTTGGGACTCTTGAGTTGCAGAACATTATGGATCGTAGATTGCGGCCAAAGTTTTCTGGAAGCTTTTATTTTCAAAATTGCACTAAATCATCTGGATAACATCTCCACAATTGGCTGACTTTGGATCCATTACCCTTATGCAGAGATTTGTTTTAGGACTTTTGATATTGACCCATTAAAAGACCAAAGTATGGCCTTGTGATATTTATCTGAAATGATTTATAATTGGATTTCTGAAGACTGGTTTAAGGATAAATGTCGATCATTAATGTGACAACCATCACCCTTACCACAACCACAAAATAGTATGAATAAAACCATCAATATATCATTTACGAAATAATCAATATTAGAAATATATTATGCCTATCAATGTACACCTTTATATTATTCTGGAATCCTTAACAATGTATTTGGACAATCCATCATGAATAATATTGAATAATTATATATAAGATACATGTCACATCCTTGTTGTAAATGCATGTACTTGAACCGTAACATTGCATACTACAATAGTATTTGTGTTTAAAGTTTGATTGCAGACCGATTGCAGACCAATCTAATTAAAATATAGATATCTGATTTCGTTATGCTCATTTCAATGTAAAAAAAATGTTTTTTTTGTAACAAATGATAGTGTATTGTCTTGTGTGTATATATGTCATGCTGCCAATCAAGGGTCCTTAATAGGAACAATAAATAGTCTTGTAACATGAATGGTAATTTTTCCTTTGATCTTCGAGTGAGTTAAATTCTGTTATTATTAGAGGAGTGCGTTAACTGAATGATTTTTTTTTTAGTAATAGCACTCTCCAGTCCCGCTGTGTGTGGCTTGTCAAAGGAAAAGCAAAAAATGGGAGGAGCCAAGACCAGTGCTCTAACTTCCATCTCAGAAGTAGATATTTCATTGTCTAGCTCCGCCTCCTTGGCCTAGTAAACAATGAAATTAATGACCCATAAAAGGTCTTAATACATTTGAACAAAATGTATACACAACAATAAATCAAAAAAAAAAAATTCGGGAAGTGTGTGTGTGTGTTGGGGGGGGAGGGGGGGGGGGATTACTTTAACACTAGCCAAATTTGCAAACCTAACCCTTAATTAAAAATGGTTCCCTATACTCGAAACAAATGAATGCCCGATGAGGGCTACAAAAAGGAATAGCGTGGTCTATAAACGAAGATGTGATATTAATATATTGGTGGATACTTGATTTCATCGTGTCAAAATGAATATCCCCCATAAATGTCACTTGATTTTTAGTCGTTTCATTTCATCTACTTTTTAAAGGTATATGTCCGTGAATTCAGCATGCTTAAAATATATATCTCTGGACCTTACGCAATCAACAGCCCATCTAAAAATCGACCATTTTCATGGTGTTGGGAAAGGCATATGCTATATTGTAATTTATGATAATGGTCAGGGTTTTGATTTTTATTAATATTTGCTCTTTTAGGAGATAGTTGAACTTCGTCATTTTTGGAGTATAAGAGGTACATAACGTTATAGTTATTCCACATAACACCTCCTACAGTTTGAATGCTAGGAAGTTTTCACTTTGCTGTCTGTTTGTACATATATTGAAGGTGTGCATGTGGTCAGGGTTTTGATTTTTATTAATATTTGCTCTTTTGGGAGATAGTTGAAGTTTGTCATTTTTTGGAGTATTTACTTGCATAAGAGGTGCATAGCGTTTCCGGATAACTCCTCCTACAGTTTGAAAGCTAGGAAGTTTTCACTTTGCAGGCTATTTGTACATATATTGAAGGTGTGCATGTGGTCAGGGTTTTGATTTTTTGTTAATATTTGCTCTTTTGGGAGATAGTTGAACTTTGTCATTTTTTGGAGTATTTACTTGCATAAGAGGTGCATAGCGTTTCCGGATAACTCCTCCTACAGTTTGAAAGCTAGGAAATTTTCACTTTGCTGGCTATTTGTACATATATTGAAGGTGTACATGTGGTCAGGGTTTTGATTTTTATTAATATTTGCTCTTTTGGGAGATAGTTGAACTTTGTCATTTTTTGGAGTATTTACTTGCATAAGAGGTGCATAGCGTTTCCGGATAACTCCTCCTACTGTGAACCATAGACCTTTGTGCTCCCATGCTTAACTTTGTGTTTTTTAAAATAACACTTTGCATCTGCGTAGGCATCATTTGTGTCTCCCAGGCACAATAATTTCTTGAAAGAAAGTCCTACATTGACATTTACAGTTACTTCAGAGTGGAGTGCTGGGGCATCACTTTGTCTAGTTTAACTTGAAATAGCTTCATTTTAATGACCAGCGAAGTATGTAAAATATTTTCTCACTACAAAATTTTTGTATTTCTATTAATGAGTAAGGCGTGGCTATATGTGATTTGTAACATTAATGGGCGATGACACATGTCAAAGGTTAAACTTAACTGTTCTTTTCATGAATAAAAGATGTCAATCAAAAGTGGCGCTTTTCATGGAAAAACGTCTCTTGTTTTCAGAAAATGAATTCATGGATCGTATTTTTTAGTTTGATTTGATTTAATGACAGATGTACATGACTTCTTTTGAACTGAGTTTTACTGTGCGTATTGCTATGTGTTTCTTTATTCTACATTGGCTAGAGGTATAGGGGGAGGGCTGAGATCTCACAAAACATGTTTAACCCCGCCGCATTTTTGCGCCTGTCCCAAGTCAGGAGCCTCTGGCCTTTGTTAGTCTTGTATGTTTTTTTAATTTTTAGTTCATTTATATGTTTTGGAGTTTAGTGTCACGTCCATTTTCACTGAACTAGTACACAATTTTATTTAGGGGCCATCTGAAGGGTGAAGGTTTGGTACCATTAAAACGTTTAAACCCGCTGCAATTGTTTGCACCTGTCCTAAGTCAGGAATCTGATGTTCAGTAGTTGTCGTTTGTTGATGTGGTTCGTAAGTGTTTCTCGTTTCTTATTTTTTATATAGATTTGACCGTTGGTTTTCCCGTTTGAATGGTTTTACACTAGTTATTTTTGGGGCCCTTTATAGCTTGCTGTTCTGTGTGAGCCAAGGCTCCGTGTTGAAGACCGTACTTTGACCTATAATGGTTTACTTTTATAAATTTTGACTTGGAAGGAGAGTTGTCTCATTGGACATTCATACCACATCTTCTTATATCTATTCATACAAAATTTGATTCAATCAACGCTTTAAAATCCCAATTAAATTACAAAAAGAACCACGCAATCATTATATACACAGTAATTATATATATACATCATTTACTGTAGAAGTACAGGTCTTTAATGGGTGTCATTTTTTGTGGATTGTGAAAACATATTTGGTTCCTTCGTTTTTTTTCAATTTGTGGTTTTAAGATAAACATATTCGCACTCAATGGAAAACATGTAATTTTAGTGTAATTAATTTTGTAACTAAACGGACCCATGAAATCCCTGAAAATGATCTTGAAGTATAGATTCCAGGTACTGACGTTGTTTATCATCTTAATAACGTGTTATGGTGTTCTTTTTATTTGTCTTTGTTATTTGTTTTTATAGTGATTAAGATTATAACACAATGTTAAATGCTGTACCCCAATTTCTGACATTTTTACCTTTTATGTCTGTTTGTTTTGTAGAATCCGTTCTTTTTTTAATCTTGTAGGTTAGTAGTCATGGTGAAGATGATGCTATCAGAATTGAATTGAAAGAGGAAAATACCTAAATTCCATGCCAGGAAAAAGATACAAATAAGCTGGAAAATTATGATGATTTCCGACGTAACTGTAAACCGTTGTCTCATATAAAAGTGAAACGAATAGGTTTTCAAGACTACTTCCACCATTTCCTGGTGTTTGCAATCTCTAAAATATCTGATGGGATAGATGCTGTCACCATCGGACAATACACAAGCTCGGCTGAAATTGGGATGGAGAATTGTGATGGCATCGGTAAATTTGTACAGTAGACGTTCTTGATGGATGAAATCGACAATTATACACATACACATGCTATTTTAAACTTTGAGCGGGGTGTATTCTTAGTTGAACAGGAGAACTATCCAAGTACAAGAAAATAAATTGAGGGAGCTTTTAATCGTCTTAGCGAGAGAAATGGTGAGAGAAAGTATGATTTATTATCAAACAATTGTGAACATGTATTTAACCAAATTTTAACCGGAAAGAGTGTCAGTCATCAAGCAGACACCAAAACTTGCTCCAAGATATGTTTTAATGATTTGATCAACATTTTCATCATAGATTGTAAAGAAGTAGGGCTCAAAACAACTTTGTTAGTAGCTGCTATTGGTGTTCTTGCTGGTTCATTGGTGTGTAGAGCTTATGTAAAAGTAATTGTTGCTGCTATTGTAAGCCTTACCGTCGAAAGTAGCATTATTAAATGTGGAGACAAAAGGGGAAGTAATTTACGCAACGAAGCGGATATCAGAATAGACTTGGCTGCTCATTTGCCCGATATCAATGGTGCTTAAAAAAACACAAGTAGTGCTATCCTTGACGACAAGAAGATTCACACTGATACGAATTTTGTTTGTAACATTGCAGAAAAACTTATTTATGAAGCAGCCCCGACGACGTGTTTGGCGACTGTTGCTGTCTCTACAGGAATAGAAACTTTACTATTTTTATATTTCGTATTTAACAATTTAATTTCAAGGAGACGAAAGAAAACATTGGAAGATAGAAATCTATGTCAGCTGTTATTCTTGCAACTTTTTTGCAGGATATGTCTCTATGGGAATTGCTGTAGTTTGTGGATATTTCGCATTTTTAGACTTGAATCGTCGTGTATTATCTTTCTTTTGAATTGTATTTAGTTGTTGTCTTATTTTTCGATATATTTTGACTAGTACTGCAGAGATGATTTTTAACGTCTGCTGTTGTCAGTGTTGCTGGACCTGTTATCAGTCAAGCTGTTGTAAAAGAGGGGCGAAAGATACCAGAAGGACAGTCAAACTCATAGATCGAAAATAAACTGACAACGCCATGGCTAAAACAGAAAAAGACAAACAGACAAATATAAGTGCATAAAACACAACATAGAAAATGTTTCGAGGCCAGTTGTCATTGTAGATGATATAGATGTGATTTGAGCACCGTTTGTTTTGTTTTTTTCAACTTTGGTAATCTTTATTTCTGTTGCGTGTTTAGTTGTTATTGTTTTCTGGGACGATTAATTAAAACAATGGGCTTAGTTCGGTGAATGGGTGTTGAAGAAATGGAGAGCGAAAGGAAGGGGTCCAACTTTTTAGAACATAATTATTGTCTTTAAATGAAAAAGAACGATTATTTTGAAATGTATCTTATCAGAATTATTTGAATACAAATGCATAACTGTACATAATTTTAGGCCTTTGCTTTAGCTAAAACACTTCTGATATATCAATCCCTTTTCAATTAATAAAGATAACTGCAAGTAACATATGAAACCTAGATGTGAAATGAATCCCTTATAAACTCAAAAACAGTCTTGAGAATGTAATTGAATTTTGTGTTTGTTTCAAGCCGCCACAATATTATGTGTTTTATGTCTGAAATAATGTAGTCCTTATGGTAAGTCATAGGCATCATCTGTTAATTTGATTGGTTTTGCAGGCAATGGAACAATTTGAAGAAGTTAACAAAACTTCTTTTTTTTTTATCTAATTGTCTTTTTCCTTGTTTTAATTAAAACTTGGAAGTTAAATTGAAATGTGAACATACCAAACATCTGATGAATATCATAAACTCATTAACTTT